AGCGCAGAGGCCTGAATTCTGAACTGATGTTCAAAGCCCGAGATCGACGCCTCCAAGACCGTGTTGAGCGACTCGAGTGCCGTCGCCGCCGCCACGCTTGACTTGATTCCATCCACGAGCTGGCGAGAACGAAGCTGGAGGAACCGGCGATCAGCACGGACCACACACAGTCTGACAGGGGTCCCAGGCGACGTACTGTCAGGAAGAAAACCAGCGCGACGAAGCATGCGCGCTGAGCCAGGAGCGCAAGCCCGGCCCAGTCGACCTCGCCTTTGTCTTCGTTGCGACGGACGTCCTCATCGACGTCGACCCAGGCGTCATACGCTCCTGGCTGGCTGGCGGGAGAGGAGCGTTGGACGAGGGATGAAGGCGGGATGAAGCAGACGTTGACAGACCCAGGCGTCGTCGACAAAGTGTTGGTGACCACACCAGCTTTCGGAGGCGCAGCTGGTTTAGCGCCCGGTGAGATGTCGACGGGATGGTGGTCGTTGTTGCCGTCGACGGGGCAGAGGTCAACGATGGCTTCCTCAAAGGTGAGCGGCGCGGGGAACGCGAACGGGCACGGCCCGAGGGCCGCATCCGCCGGCGCCGTGATGAGGGAGGTACCGTTGGTGTCGAAGGCCTTCGGTGTGCACAAAGAGTTTAGCACGAAAAGATGGCCAGCGACGAGGAGGAGCAAGATGCTCTGTATCGTCATGATCATGTTGTAAGATGTGTTGCCGGGGCCAGAGCAAAGCGGGTGAATAAATACATATCTGACCTGGAGTCAGCCTCCAGTCGGCCTCCAGAGGCAGACAGCGAGCGATAGACTGAGCAAAGCGAATCTCGATGCGATCATTGAGCGTCTACTCGGTATCACAGATCGTCATCCGCGGCTAGTCGGCTCAGTCGACTCAGTCCCGAGGCCTCAGGCCTCAGACCGCGCTCCTACCAACATATCCTGCGCGCACGACATCTCTGTCGCAAAATTGCACAGCACAATGGCAGCTATCAAATCTGGAAGTGGTGGCCCCGACCCTATCCTCTTGACCCTCTTCGCGAACCGCTTCATGAGTGTCGCGGAGGCCATGGGCAGGTCACTCCAGCAGACAGCTATCAGCACAAACATCAAGGAGCGTCTGGATTTCTCCTGCGCACTGTTTGCCCCAGATGGCGATTTGGTCGCGAATGCGCCATTCATCCCGATTCACCTGGGATCTATGAGTTTGTGAGTAATGCCTCCGCTTCTCCTGCAGGCTATCATCGTCCATCCTATCGTGTACCTTCCGAATTGGCCATTGCTTATGCCGACGCGTGAACATCTAGCGCGGTCAAGTACCAGATGAAACTGCACAAGGACGACCTGAAGCCTGGAGATGTGCTCATGGCAAATTCCCCACATGCTGGAGGCTCGTACGTGCCGTACCTGGCCTCATTTCTATATGATCGCTAAATGTCGCCTTAGACACCTTCCAGACATCACAATCATCAGTCCTGTCTTTGATGAAGAGTCCAAAGAAATTATCTTCTTCACTGCCTCCCGTGGACACCACGCCGACATCGGCGGGATTCTTCCCGGATCCATGCCTCCAACATCGACGAATATCTTTGAAGAGGGGGCACACATTCATAGCTTTAAGATTGTTAGGGAGGGCATGTTCGATCGCGAAGGGCTGGTGAAGTACATGGTAGATGAACCGGCAAAGTACCCCGGTAGTTCGGGGTGCAGAAACTTCAAGGATGTGGAAAGTGACCTCAAAGCTGTGAGTACGGCACAACACTCATATATTTCGCAACCTCTAACACGGTGTGATGATAAGCAAATCGCTGCGAATCACAAGGGCGTCCAACTTATCAAAGCGAGTAAGAGACGTTCGTTATCCTTTGTGCTCTCAAATCTGACTATATGCGCAGTTGTTTACGATTATGGCCTGAAAACCGTCCAGGAATACATGTACCACATACGAAACAACGCAGAGTTTTCTGTAAGAAATCTGTTAAAGGACGTCGTGAAGCGCGCCGGATCCAACATCCTCGAAGCTGTCGATTACCTTGATGACGGTTCACCTGTAAGCGGTTCTCCGCGCCCTTGTTTACATCGTTCTACCACATGCCGACTACAGATACAACTCAGAGTCGAGATCGACGAGAAAGAGGGCTCAGCACACCTCGACTTCACGGGCACCGGCTGCGAAGTTCGCGGGAATTTGAACGCTCCTATCTCTGTCGTCCACTCTGCAGTCATCTATTGCATGCGCTCGATGCTCGACATGGACATTCCGCTCAATGCTGGGTGTCTTGTCCCCTTGACCAGTCCGTGCGAACGTCACAGTTATGAGAGCTGATAGTTGATGATCCCGCCGCAGTCAAAATTCCTCAAGGCTCGCTCCTTTCGCCATCGCCGACGGCCGCAGTCTGTGGTGGGAACGTCCTTACGTCACAACGGATCGTCGACGTCGTGCTCAAGGCCTTCCACGCTTGTGCCGCGAGCCAAGGGTGCACCAAGTGCGTCCCGGCAGCCATCCAACACGGTGCTTCCCACTGATCGTTATCAGCAACCTGACGTTCGGCGCCGGCGGCAAGGACAAGGACGGAACCAACGTCTCTGGGTGGGGCTACTACGAAGTGCGTCCGTCTCGTGTTTCAAACCTTCGCCCGTACCGACTGACCACACCAACGCAGACCATCGCGGGCGGCTCGGGCGCGGGTCCCAGCTGGCACGGCACGTCGGGCGTGCACACGCACATCACGAACACGCGCATCGGCGACGTCGAGATCCTCGAGCGGCGGTACCCGGTCATGATCCACCGCTTCGGCCTCCGGGAGGGCTCCGGCGGCAAGGGCAAGTTCAGCGGCGGCGACGGCGTCGTGCGCGAGATCGAGTTCACGGAGCCGCTGCAGGTGTCGATCCTGTCCGAGGTGCGCATGCGCTTTTCCTGTCCCGTTTCCTTGACTTGGCATCGGAGGCGCTGACGGGCGGACCCTTTTGCAGCGCCGCACGCGCCAGCCGTACGGCATGGAGGGCGGCGAGCCGGGCGCGATGGGGCACAACACCTGGGTGAAGCAGCCGCGCAAGGAGGACGGCGACCTTGATGAGAACACGCCGCCGACCCCGAGGAAGGTCAACATCGGCGGCAAGGCGACGGTGTTTATGGGCAAGGGCGACCTGCTGCTCATCGAGACGCCCGGCGCGGGTGCATGGGGCGCGGCCGAGGGCGACCCGCAAGACCACGAGCATAACCATTCGCACGTACGTGCCTGGGCAGCCCGCGGAAGCTTGGCGGAGCGCGAGCGTGCGCAGGCCGGGTTCTAGTTTGCATGTATGCGGTCGAAGACATCAAAGATGGAGTGTACTGGTAATAGTTTGGATTAGGAAGCAAATGTACCGTCGTGCGCAATCAAACGGATTTAAACGAGCTTTCGAGGGATGGGGGATCTTATGCTGCAGCTATCGAAGAGCGACATGCGGGCCAACACTGCTACAAGATGCTAGAGCTATAACAAGAGCGGCGGCTGACGGGAGCAACGATAGCAGAGCGTGCAAATACATACGATAAGTACACAAGTACAATCATAGAGAAATGTAGGGGGAAAGTAACGGAGAAAGAAACCTTGCCACACGAAAACAATCGGGATATTATGGGTGTCCGGGAAGAGGAGGCGCAGAGGGAGGCGAGATGGCTGATAAGGGGCATCGGAAGAGCGATAGCGTGGAAGCAGGGAGAACAGTATGTAGCACCGGAGTGTGCAATTCCAGACCCAAACAGCGGACGGCTTTCGTAGACGTTCTGGCGAATATCGCACAATCAGTGGTAATCGCGGGGTACAGTGAGGAGACCACTCACACGGCTTTCATGCGCCCTCGATAGCAGCAATGTCCTTATCCTCCTTTTCAGCCGCAGCCTCTGCATCCGGCTCCTCTGCGATTACCTCAGGTGCGGCCTTGGCAGTAGCCGCCTCGACGGCGGTGCCATCGGCCTTGGACGCAGGCTTGGAGCCAACCTTGGACGCCGGCTTCTTCGCTGATGAGGCGGGCTTCGCGGAGGAAGCAGGCTTGGCAGCCTTTGAGGGTGGCTTGGAGCCGGCAGGCTTGGGCGTCGGCTTAACGGTAGACGCAGGCTTTGGGGCCTTGGATGCCGGCTTGGTCGCCTTAGACGCGGGCTTCGCAGCCTTGGACTCGGGTTTGGCCTGTCGTTGAGCATGAGTTTCCGGCAGCAGCTTCAAGATACAGTTTGCGACTTACACGCTTGGAAGTCGGCTTCTCTGTCTCTGGCTTGTTCTCATCGGCCTTGGGCTCGGCGGCACCGTTGGCCGCTACCTCAGTGGCCTCCTCGGCCTCGCGCTCAGTAGCGGTGCGCTTCTTGCCCTTGGTCGATTTGGGCTTTTCCTCTGCCTTCTTTTCTTCTTCCTTCTCCTCCTCTTCTTTCTTCTCCTCGCCGTTGATTGAGGCCTCGCCCTCCTCAGCGGTGGCCTTGGTCTTTTTCTGGCGAGGCTTTGCAGGGGCCTTCTTGGGAGCAGGCTCAGCCTTGGGCTGATCCTTGATGCGCGAAGAGCGACGAGGTTCAACTGCAAATGCGTCAGCGGGAGCAGCGACTTTGCGAGGCATTTCGGGATAGTTTTGGTGGATGTGCGAGGGTGACGAGGAGGCAGGAGGGAGCAAGGAGCGTGTAAACGCGCCTTCAGCGTTTAATTTAAAGCGGCCAGCCCGAGAACCAAACTCGCGATCAACAGACCTATCACGTGAGTCGCGCGAGTCCCGTGACGAACGCGTCTTCCCCCGAGATTACTGCCTCTGAGATTTATTCTCCAGCTTCGTCGCATTATGCCTGGTGGTCATCGCATAGGAGACACTGACAGAGCCGACCTTATGTTTCTTTTACTTCGTGGCTTCTCCAGCCCCAACGCAAGCTCGAACAAACAAACAGCGCACAAGCGCCGAGCCCTTTTGAATGAGCGCAAGATATCATGTAAAAAAGGAACCAGTGCGTATAGGTATTAAAAAAATGCCCAAGGACGCACTTTAAGATAAAATGTGTCTACTGTGAGACAAAATGCGTATACGTGTACGATAAGTCCGAGACTTAGGCAGGGAACCCGGATAAAAATGAAGGAACATAGAGGCTTAAGCCATGCGAGACGTTTAGCGTATACGAGGCTTGCCACACCATACTCGGTGACACCGCCATCCAGCCCTCTGACAGTGTGCATTGCAGTAGTACGCTGCACGGCATCCTGAGCATCTGCTACTTGCACCGTCCTTGCCACAATGCTTGCAAAAGTCGTCGTTTCCAGAAGCAGCCCCCGCTAGACGCACAAGCACCATGTCCCTGAGTTCCTCGCCAAACGTCTTGACGAAGTCCAGAAATATACTTCCGGGCGGACGACGCTCGGGCTTCGGCCCTTCGATCTCTTCGGCCCATTTGCTCAAGGCAGCACGATAGAAGGCGCGGTGCGGAGGCTCGTCGAGCGCGTCGAGTGCAGTGTTGTTGACAGAAGCTCCGTGGCATTTGCCAGCCTCAATCTGTTCGCACTTCTGTCGCATATTCTCTAGCGTAATCTTCGGCACCGCCGTAGGTAGTGCCCACGAGCAAGCGTACTTCATTAAGACCTCGTGATAGTAATGTGCTTCCCGTTCGAGTGCGAAATGCTCTCCACCAGTACCGTGGCCGCCGGTCTGTGCTATGCCTCAGTCCAGTGCGAAGCACATTACGCCGTCCAGTACAAGGTGATGGTTACGTTGGCCGAAGATGAGCCATGGCCAGGGCACGACGCCTTTGATTCCGATCTGACTTCTGTTGATGCTTACTCGCAGTGGCGCAGAAAGCGGGCACGGATCTTCGAAGTGCGCAATCTGCGTACCCTCTCTGGGGTCGACGTAGCTCTCGGCGATCGAGAGTCCGACGGCGAGAAGACGACCTGCGAGCCATCGGCCGTGCGCACGAGCAGCTTTGCGGTTGGCGGCAGGGAGGCGATGATCTCTTGCGCAGTGTATGTCAGACCGTATCTGTGGCTGTGGATCCTGCAGCGCCAGTATGCATCCTCGAGTTCTATGCCAGTGGGCTGACGACCAGTCGGCGTCCGCACACTCTTTGGCAGACCGCGCGCAAAGGTGTCGAGGGTGAGGCTCTCCTTCGTTTGACGATGTTCCTCTTGGAGAATATAGCAAATTTTGTCCTTGGTACAGGCTTTCCATTCGGGGAGAACGTCGCTTAGATCTGCGAAAGTGACTCCTGGCGTCGAATCATGGTTCACTTCAAGAAGACGAAGAGTGTTGAATTGCCGATCTAAGCGTGCATAACAGTCTAGGATTATCGTCGCGCTGAGGTCGTGCACGTCAACGACCAAGTCATGAGGGAAAGTTGAAGTAGGCATGTTCGAGGCAAGCAGCGGTATGGTTGTCGAATGTTGAATGTTGAACGTGAACGTTGATGGGAGAACGAAGTAGAGAGCTCACTGCCTTTATCGGCCGGGTGGCAGCTTCGAGCCACCGGCCATATCCGTCCAAAGGACGTCGCTCTAGCCACACGTCCAATCTGGTTACCTTGAACCAGCCCTGGAAATATGCATTCAAAAACACAGCGGACTACCGATACAAACGAAATAATAGTAAGACATATAAGCTCGAACGATAGGAAATCAGAAGTCCTCATCTTCCTCCTGCACCATGCCGCCAGCGAACCCCGTGAACCGCTTGTCTGAGGTACTCTCACCAGCCCAGTTATCGTGATCCATGCTCGGTCGAGGCCTGAAGCTCTCCCGCCGTGCCGACGCCTTGCGCGCCGTACCTGCCGCGGGGGGAGCTGCTGCGCTGCTGTTCAATCCTACTGCGCCATACACGCGCACCGCGGGCGGCGGTGCATGTGACTTCGTTGCAGATCTGGTAGGCCGCGCGTATGGATGGTAATTTCGTGTGCGTGGCTTCTGCGCAGAGCCGACGCGGCCAGTCATAGGTGTCTCGCGCTTCGACGCAGCAATGCCCTGCGGCCGAGGCACTGATGCGGGGGTCTTGCCGTTTGTAATGGTCGGCGCGCGGAGGGCGAACGGTGATGGAGCGCGAGTATTCCGACTGGTGTTCATGGGAACTATTGGCACAGGTAGTGGAGGAACTGTGTTGTAATTGTTCGCGGCCGCTGACGGCGCTTCCCTTGACCTTGGTTGTCGGGCTGCTGCTGCCGATGCGGAACGGGTATTGCGACCCGTAGTGGAGGGTGGCCGTGCTGGGACGGCAGGCGTGACGGCGGGTTTGCTGGACGATGAGACAGATGATGATGGGGCATACGATGGCGTTTTGGCTCGCGGTGCAGATCCTGAGGCCGTTCGCGTCTTGCCGCGTTTCGTACTGTTCTCTTTCTCTTGGGTTTGGGACGCTTCCTGAAGAATTTGCATGACGCTCTGGCCGCGGACCAAGAATGTCCTTCCTGTCTGCGCCTCCCAAGCTGGTATTGAATTGAGCAGGTCTTGCTTGAGCTGGGTACAAGTATTAAGTAGGATACATGCGGAGCTGTATGAAGGGACCTACCCTGGGCTTCTCCTTCGTAACGCGCTTCCGCATCTTCTCTTCTCGGAGGAGTCTCCCCGGATCGCGAGGACCTCTGCCCAGCAGGCGGGTTTGGTCAGCAGCAGCAGCAGCTAGATCTTTCTCATCTTCGCAGATGTCGAAGTACTTCTGAATACTCTTAAGAAGTGGACCCTTCAGCTTTCTCTCTTCCTTCAGCCTACGAATCTCCTCCTCATGTATCGCCAAAAGTTCTTCGGTGTGTTCATCTGTGAAACTGTTAGTTAGCGCAGCTATGACTTTCGATTCCACTCACCATCTGCAAATGGCGCAAAATCCGCTCGCTCGTCCTCGCTAACCATTAGCTCGTCCCAAAGCTGCGTAATCTCTGACCTCGCGCTCTCTATGAATGTACTCATTTTCTCTCTCTTGAGCTCTAACATGCGATCTAGCTCTTCCTCATATGCTCGCACAGTCACTTCTGTGCTGCCACGCTGGGCCTCGATGAACGCGTCCATCTCAGTATCAGCGACTCCAAGCCTGCGCCACAAGCTTTCGAGCTGATCGTACATGGCTTGGATATGCGCCTCGCGCCTGCGCTTGATGTCTTCAAGGTTCGCTTGTGTCGTCTCCGCCCATCGTACGAGGTCGGGTATCGGGTCCACGCCCTCGAGGCCGACGCTCGGCTTGTTGGGGTCTGTAACCGCTTCCTCGCCCAGCTCGTCCAGGCGAGTGACGAAGCGGTTGAATATACTGTGATACTCAGCCTCGTTGTTCGGCGTGTGTGGCGCGTCGTCGGAGGGTATGTTCAGTAGATAGGGTGTGTTGGCCTTGGAGCGCGAGCTGGTTGGTGTGGGTGTCGCAAGAAGATCTGAGGAAGAGAGGAAAGGATCAGAGGAGGGGCAAGTACCGGAAGCCTGGAGGCTGCATGCGGATTGTGGGCGTGAAGAAGAGGAAGAGCCGGAGTCGGCGGGAGACTGCGGCGTGATTCCCAGCTCCGTATATAGATAGTCGATTTGGGAGAGTGTGAGGGATAGGTGGTGCATCCGTTTACCCTGGACAGCATCAAAATAAGGCTAAAGTTTGCATATGGATGGAGGACATACAACTTCACCCTTCCCTCGGACGAGCTCCTTCTCCAGCTTGGAGAACCGCTCGGGAGTGACATCTCGGCGAGCGTCCGGGTCACCTTCGCTCTCACCTGTGGCGCGTATAGGTTCCAAGATATCAGAAGGAAAATATTCGGGTCCCAACGTTCGTGAAAGGGTGTCGATACGGCTGGTGAAAGTTGCGAGCTGCTCGAGTTTCGTGTGATACAGCTACAACCACTGGTCAATTCCAACCAAAGCTTTGCTGACATTCTATTCAGACGGACCTGGCGTAGCTTCTCCTGATACTCTGATATCATATCAAACCGCCTCGGCAAGACCTGCTCCTTCCTGACCTCACCGACGCTGCTCCCTGTGGCCTTCACATGTCCGCCCAACGCCTTGGTGTATCGCACACATTCTCGCTCGACCGCGTCGCAACGCCCCATCCATTCGTCAACCTGCATCCGACGCAGGTCTATCTGACTCTCCACACATTCCGCGAGCTGCCTCTGCAAAGCGGAGAGATCGTCGGCGAGTGCTGTTTGCGGCAAGCCAAGCTGGTTGTGTAGCGTCGGGAGAAGTTGTGTCTGGGACTGCAGGTGTGTATGTAGAGAGTTGAGCAGAGATGTTATTGTCGTCGCAGATGTCGTCATTATCGTTAAGTCTATCGGGAAAGCGTGGCCAACGGCATCGGTGTCGCAAGTTCAACCTCGCGGAGAGCTCGCATAGGTCGCGGTCATGTGGCCGTAAGGGCGTCTATTAGATTGCACCCCGGCGAACGCTGCCTTCATGCTTCAAGTAGTCCTGCACTTTGTGACCTCATCCTCGCGGCCTCCAAACAAGTACCGCCCAGGTCTTGATCAACAAAGTGATAATATATTGACTTGAGGTGGAGATGCAGCTGTTGCGCACTTGGGAAACATCCGGCTTATGTAAGCAGATCGCGAGAATGGCTCTCAAAAATCAAGACCTCCTATGAGTCTTTCTCTCCTATTTACCACATCTCGTCATGAACATCCCAGAAACACCAGCTTTTCCGGAAGATTTTGTCGTCGACGTGCACGATCTAGCAGTCATTATTCTTGACTGCCATGCCCAACTAGAGACCAGATTTGCAAAAAGTCAGCTGGTCGAGGTCAACCGTGGCACGACTCCCCTTCAAACTATACCTGAAGCCATACTTGGTCCAGAGTGGGCCACATCGGATGACGTTGTCGCATACGTGCTGAAGGAACAGGGTCCCGACTTATCTCGCGTAACTTTGGCCACCTTCGCTCATCCTGAAGGTGTCGAGACCCCCAACGGCCAGCCCCTTTCTCGCAAGGATCTCGAGGACATCTTCTGGCGCAGCAAGTGCTTTGATAGCGGTTACGTCCTTACATACGTCGCGCAGCAGGTATTCGACGCCTTGCCGTCCACGGCAACGCTATCTATCCGAACGTCCCAAGGTTACACCATCACCTGCGCACCATCCAAGACGACAGTGGCGGAAATTCCTGTAGTCATCCGCGAGCCTTGCATTCATGTAGTCCTGAATAAGAGACAGCATCTTTCGGGCTTCGATGACTACACGCCATGGATATGGCTCTACATCGGTGAACCTTCTTCGACGGATCCGGACAACGACACCAGGGTTGTCTTGGACCTCGCAGTAACGCAGATAGGGGGTCGCGGACGAGGTGATGAACCCTTCGCACTCGAGCGCGGGGCGCACTACTATGACGCCATCCTGAACAAGTGCGCTGTTGACCTTGGTGGTAACATGAAGTTATCCTCCAAAATCACATTGTCGCCACCTCGTGTCCGTGCACATGGTGATGCAGTGAAAGTCATGGTGCTCGAGCGACTGGGAAAAATTGCCAGTGGGAACGACCAGTTTTGCAGGTACTGCGGGAAGGACAAGGTGAACTTGCAGTGCTCGAGGTGTAAGAAGGCATATTTCTGCCAGGAGTGCGTAAACCAAGGTTGGAAGTATCACAAACGTTGGTGCCAGCCTTCGTAACAGTGCACGATATTGTAAATCTTCATCTCCCCAGCTGTGTCGTTGAGTAGCTTACCGAGCTGATTATGTGTTCGGCATCACTAGCTGTATATTTCTGTAATTTCGTTTCAAAGAAGGTCTATTCTTGTTACTTGCTTGCCTCCTACGTGGTACTGCATGGGCTGTACGTCGAGGAGATAAACGGAATGGAAAACCATATGCAGCTACCCTTCTTCATTGTCAGAGGCCGGAGCGTAACCATCTCACGGCTACATATACGCGATACGTCCTGCGGCAGTGGGGTCTTTGTTCACTTGGCCTCTACAATCCGATAGGGGTAAGCTGAGGCATTATTATTCCCCTTTACCCTCCCCTGGAAGGTGTTTGCGGAGACCACACGCAATAGTCGACAATCCCTCAGCGCCATTTGTCCTTATTAGGATCTGAGGTTTCCTCATTGGGGGATGCGACTCGCGCTACTGTTCGCCTCTTACAACAATCCCGAAATACATATGCTCTACCAGCAACTCATTTCTTACAAACCGTCGGATAATCTCTATTTTCATGCTTGTCAGGTCTTTACGATGTGACGGTTCTTCATAGAATATTCACTGCACCCTTAGCACCACGCATATAGTTTCAAAATAATTCGCATTTGCACTGTTACAGCTGCATGTCAAGCCCTAGTCCAGCTTCTGCAAGCTCATCACATCTCAGCAATGTCTCTCTCCAAGGCCTCCTCAAAAGATGCATCGAAGATCGCCGAGCAGCTATCATAGCGCTCTGGCGGTCTTGACGATGCACCCTCTGAAGGTGTCTCGGGGGTCCAATATGCCGCGATGAACTCTGGGTCCGAGCTCGGATACCGGATCAGCTTCAAAAGTGCCAACGCCTGTCCCTTCTCCACCGACAACGCCAACGACGCCTCCGACACCGCACGCTCCACTCCCTCCGTCATCCCATACACCCGCCCAAGCTCGCTCTGGTACTCCGCCATCTTCCCATTCAGCCCCTCCTCCTCCGTTGCCAGTCCCGCGATCTGCACGTCCAGTCGGTTCACTGCCTCGGCCTCCGTCATCTTGAACCGCGCCATGTCCGCCTCGGCCGATCGCAGCCGGATGCTCAGCGGACGCTTCTCGTCGTCGTGCGCCTTCTTCAGGTGCTCGAGCTTGGCCCCGAGCGCAGAGTTGTCCGCACGCAGCTGCTCGCTCGATGTCGCAAACGCCGCGTTGGCCGACCCCAGTGCCGTCCGCTGCGCCTCGAGGTCGCCGAGCTGTGTCGTGAACGCGTGTCGTGTCACCGCCGTCTCCTTCGCGACCTCGTCCGAGTGCTGGCGCGCCGCTGCAGCCTTGGCCTCGGCGTCGGCCTGCTGCCGCCGTGCCCGCGCCGCCTTGTTGGACGCCTCGTCAAGCATCGACTCGTACTGCTGCCGGTCGTACCCGCTCTCCTTCCCAAGCGACCACGATGCCTCCATGTCGCGCTCGTAGTCCTGTGCGTGCAGCCTGAAGACGTCGTTCCGCGTGTCGAGCGCCGCCTTCGTGACTTTCAGGCTGTGTTCTTGTGCGACGCAGGCGGCCTTGCGCTCAGCGATGTCGGCGTCGTCCCTGGCAATGGACGCCTTGAGGGCGGCAGTGGCCTCGTCGAACCGGACCTTGTTCGCCGCTTGCTTCTCGCGGAGGGATCCGACGAGCGCCAGTGTCTCTTGAGCAACTCGGTCTGCGTCCGCCTTGACCTTCGACAGCTTCTCGACGGCTGCTGCGTGAGATGCATCCACAGCGTCGTGTTCCGCCTCGAGGGCCATCACCCGCTCCTGGTGATCGTCGGCCTCCTTGAGGGAAGTTGCACGGAGACCGACTTCGTCAGCCTCGAGTTGGGCCAGAGTCGACTCGAGGGATTCAGCGTGTTCGTCGAGCTGAGAACACGAGTCCTCGAGTGCACTGTGCGTGGTCTTGAGGTCTGTGAGCTCGGTGTCTTGCTTGGCGAGATCGGCGGCAAGAGACGAGGCCTCAGAGGATGCACCGGCAAGGTCACCGATGAGGGCCTGTTGAGCGTGGTGAGATGCAAGCACGATGTGGTCGACCTCCTCAGTAAGCGCGTCGACCTTGGAGGTTGTAATGTCGGCGCGGTAGATGGTCTGTTCGCATGAAGTCTGATAGAATGTCAGCCGATGACCTCATGTGAGATGTAGAGCGGCGAACCTCGAGCAGAGTACGCTGTGCTTCCAAGCCGGCGACGTCAGCATCGCAGTCCTCAGCCTCGAGACAGTTCGATGTATGCATGTAGGCCAAGTGCTTCCGGAGTCCGTCCCTCTCGACCAGAACCAGATGGCACTCTGCGCCAGCGTCGTCGATGCCGACCTTGACGGACTTGGCGGCCGTGAGTCGTTCATGCGTCTTGGTCTCTGCGTCTTCGAGTCGATCCTAGTATATGCTGTGAGCGGATGACTAGATAAAGATGTAGAGGTGAGGTTTTTACCTCAGACTCGGTGAGTTGTTCGAGTAGAGACACGACCTCCTCGTCAGCCGCAGCGTCCGAGTTGGCCGTCGAACACCGCCGTCCTTCCAAAGAGGACTGCATCCAGTCCATGTCGTCCTCCAGACGGCTCCTTCGATTGTGGAGTGCGATGATGCCTTGCATGTGGCGGATGGCACGCCCGAACTCGTCGTCAATCCGAGTCCCGATGGTTGCTTCCACATCGGCCAGTCGTGCCTTCCAACAGTCGTTAGTTAAATGATTTCCACAGCTCAACATGAGACGACATACCACTGCGTCTCCGAGGCTGACCAGAAGAGCTGGGAACCGACCAAGCGCAGAGGCCTGAATTCTGAACTGATGTTCAAAGCCCGAGATCGACGCCTCCAAGACCGTGTTGAGCGACTCGAGTGCCGTCGCCGCCGCCACGCTTGACTTGATTCCATCCACGAGCTGGCGAGAACGAAGCTGGAGGAACCGGCGATCAGCACGGACCACACACAGTCTGACAGGGGTCCCAGGCGACGTACTGTCAGGAAGAAAACCAGCGCGACGAAGCATGCGCGCTGAGCCAGGAGCGCAAGCCCGGCCCAGTCGACCTCGCCTTTGTCTTCGTTGCGACGGACGTCCTCATCGACGTCGACCCAGGCGTCATACGCTCCTGGCTGGCTGGCGGGAGAGGAGCGTTGGACGAGGGATGAAGGCGGGATGAAGCAGACGTTGACAGACCCAGGCGTCGTCGACAAAGTGTTGGTGACCACACCAGCTTTCGGAGGCGCAGCTGGTTTAGCGCCCGGTGAGATGTCGACGGGATGGTGGTCGTTGTTGCCGTCGACGGGGCAGAGGTCAACGATGGCTTCCTCAAAGGTGAGCGGCGCGGGGAACGCGAACGGGCACGGCCCGAGGGCCGCATCCGCCGGCGCCGTGATGAGGGAGGTACCGTTGGTGTCGAAGGCCTTCGGTGTGCACAAAGAGTTTAGCACGAAAAGATGGCCAGCGACGAGGAAGAGCAAGATGCTCTGTATCGTCATGATCATGTTGTAAGATGTGTTGCCGGGGCCAGAGCAAAGCGGGTGAATAAATACATATCTGACCTGGAGTCAGCCTCCAGTCGGCCCCCAGAGGCAGACAGCGAGCGATAGACTGAGCAAAGCGAATCTCGATGCGATCATTGAGCGTCTACTTGCTATCACAGATCGCCACCCGCGGCTAGTCGGTTCAGTCGACTCAGCCCGTCAGCCAATGCGTCAGGCAAAGGGTAAAAGTACTAATCTGGCTTGGTCGGTGTTAAGAATGCGCGCACTCCATGATTATGCTTCTCAGCTAGTTGTATCATCTCGACGCAGCTGATCCACCCCATCCACAGCAATAGTCTGCTCTTGTCCAAGCTCGCCATGGGGTTCGGCCAATGCTGGAAGTCAAGCAGTCGCGCGTGCAGACGAAGCGAAAGTCCACAGTACGATTGCATAGTAGCGACAATCCAGCGCGATAGCGATAAGTTACATACACAGCGGCACTGTTACTTTTGCTGGGAGTCGAGTGATGGTGAGCCGAACCACGTTCGTACGAGGACGAAGAAGGCGACGATGAGGAAGATGACGAGGAAGACGAGCAGGCTGCTAAACTTGTACCAGTAGAGCTCAGCCAGCTGCTCAAGATACTTGATCATGACCTTGCCCGTGAGCTTAGATTCGCCCTCCGCTCGGACGCCAAACGAGAAGGGCACCTCGGCAATAGCGTGTGGAGGTATCTGCGATTTGATGAGGAGATCGAGTGCTATTTTGAAGCCTCCGGCGTTCAGATTACGCGCTTTCAGGAACTACGTGGGTATGTATAAGGATGTATTCATAAAGCATGTAGTAGAGTGTACTGACAGCTTCTTTCCGTATACCAAAGAAACCGGACATAGGATCGCTAGCAGTGGTTAAGGGCAAAGCAAGGACGCGTGCGCCGGCTGAGATGATTCTTCGATGCACCGGCCAGTCCTTGTCCATCTCGACCCCCTTGCCATAGCGCGTTCCGAGGACGAAAGTATGACTGGGGGACATTGCCGCCAACATGGATGGTACGTATTCGGGAGGGTGCTGAAGGGAAGCCTGCTTAGCAAATAGGCATCCTAGAATAAGCGTTACTAGCCTGCGCACCTGCAAATCCGCGTCCATGCACAGCATGTTATCACCCTGGGCTTCCTGGAAGCCTCTGACTACCGCGCTGCTCAGTCCACGCTCGGTGGTCCGCACAATGATGCGGACGTTGTATCCCTCTTGCTGAAGTTGCTGGACAGTCTCTGCGGAACCGTCCCTGGAGTTGTCATCGACGATAATGACCTCGGTCTGCTCAGCAGGGACCGGAGAGTCCACTCTGCGAAGTGCAGCAAAGATGCGAGTGATGAGGGGGCGAATGTTTCCGTTCTCTCTGTAAGCGGGAACGATGACGGAGTAGTGTGTTGTCTGTCTTGATGCCATTCTGCAGGAGGGGATGAAACGAGTGTGGTGGTTCAGAGAAAGGAGAGAGGGTGTTGCTTGTATCGACGTGGCACGGGTAGCAGTGTCCCGGACGACGAATATAATATTCCTCGGCCTAAGCATGATGCCTCGCCACGTGCGGCGCCCGCAGCCTCCGCCATCCCGTCTTCGGTCCCGCCGGTGTCTGCCCTTTCATGTTGCGTCCCTCTGCGACCTGCCTCGTCCAGTCATGACGACCATGAAAATATCCGACATTTTAGCCTCTCAAGTCTCGCTCCTGCAGGAAGCCTCCGAGGCTCTGCCGCACCAGTTCTCGCAATGCACCTACAACCTCGGCTACGTTCGCCAGGCCGTGTACCTATGCCGGACCTGCTCTCAGCGCAGAGGCATTTGCTCCGCGTGCTCTATAGCGTGCCATTCGGACCACGAGCAGCTGGAGCTCTTTCCGAAGCGCAAGTTCAGATGCGACTGTCCCACGTCTGCGTTGACCCACCCTTGCTCGCTGCATCGGAAAGCGGGCCGTAAAGAGACAGACAACACGCTGAACGAATATGGGCAGAACTTTGACGGCGTGTTCTGTCGGTGCGGGAGAGAGTACGACGCGCAGACGGAGGTGGAGACCATGATACAGTGTTTGACATGTGAGGTGCGTTTGTTTTGTGGGATCTGTATGGCTGTTCACCTGGCTCAGTGATCCTAGGATTGGTACCATGAATCGTGCCTCAACATTCGCGAACGTCCCACGTCCCGCGCATCGTCCCCTGAGACCAGTGCTCACGAAGCGAAACCCAGCGGAGCCGAGGATGAGGATGCCGACGCGCATTCCGAGGCTTCATCCTCGGGATTACCGCCTCCCTTGGTCACTGCATCGATGTACGACGTACTGGTCTGCAGCGCATGTGTCGCCAAGATCGACACCCTTCGACGATATGCCGGGACCCCCGGCGTGCTGATGGTCGTTCGAGATACCCCTCAAGACGGCTGGAAGCTCATTGGACGCCCTGAAGACCAAAGCCAACACGTCGACATTGGCACAAATTCTAAGCCTTTTGACAATGCGACGACGGGAGACAAGCGAACACCGTCGCCTTCGGCAGAGGATACACAGCAAGCGAAGCGGTTGCGTACTGCATCGCCGGCCGATGAGGCTCGCACTTCCGTACTGCCTTTGTCTCGGCCTCAACCCTGCCTCGCACCGGGACCGAACCCAAAGGCGCAGGACATTTTGTCTGCGGCAAGGATCGGAGCTCCGAAAGGCTCCGCAGAGTCGCTTGGTGCAGGCGACATTTTCCTTACGCATGGCTGGAGAGACCGGTGGTGTCGTTGCAGCTCGGTGGGCCATAGTCTTCCACCCGGCTTGAATTTCTAATGCTCATGCGGTCGGCTCAGTGTCTTTCCTCTCTGGAAGCTAACTCCTTGCTCGAGGAGGAGGAGACTTACGAGCCTCCCGAGGATCCAGACTCAGGTACCCTCTCATCCGTCATTCTCCGCCATTCACTTGCACTTACGTTAACTGTTTGCGTGCGCAGGCTTGTCGCTCGAGGAGCTAGGTCTCCGAGCGCTGCAACGGCTTCCCCGCGAACGCGCTCTCAACGGTATCCAGGCGTTCAACGAGATGAGGTCAGTCCCTCTTTCGGCTCTTCAGCATGCAAGTCCTCACCGTAATTCCAGGGATCAGCTGATGTCCCACCTACGGCCCTTCGCAGAGCAGGACAAGGAAGTAACCGAGGCAGATATCAGGGCCTTCTTTGAGACGAGAATGTCTGAGAAGGATTCCTAGTTCTCTAGTAGAATACTGTTTTTGCGAGGAGAAGATGAGATGCCACTACCGAACTGGTCTTTTTTTGGAGAACTTGCATGCATCCGTACCATATGTGTGGGCCGAGCAATGTTAGTCAGCCGCAATACAAGTTGTGGGACAATCTCAACTAGTGTCCCCGGACCTTTTGTACTATGTAAGGCATGTTTTCCAGGAGCCAAGTTTCAAGTTTAAACTTTAAACCTCAAGAACTTCAAAAAGAAAGTCAACCCCGAAAATCATGACAACAAGAGACATTGAAGACACAACTCCCTGGCGGGGAGTCGAACCCCGCTTTCGCGCGCACCTCCATAGATGACAGGCGCGTGTACTAACCGATATACTACCAGGGATATCGGTATATCTTCACAAATTAAATGTCTAGTATTATCTTCAGTCCTCATCTCCGCTATAGCCGTTAAGCTAATAATGCACGGGGCGCTTAACGTCCGGCTTCTCTCGGGTATATTCGGCAGCACATGGTATCTGTTGATCGGCACATTGCTGTCAAATTCCGAAGAGGCGTATCGAAGGGACATGTCCTGCGGATTTTTAATTTTTATGTATCATGAGCTTAACGACTGTATCTCGTCGCTACCGGCTGGGTTTCCGTGAAGGCGAAGTATTCTGCGACAAGATCCGCCCTATGGATACGCTCTCTGTTTCGCAGAGTCGAGGTGGAAGTTGTGAGCACTGCAACCACCGTTCCAGTCTCGGGCGTTGGTGTCGAGGCAAGGCAGTGTTGACGCATCGTGGCGCGCTCGGCGCGTCCGCGATATCGCTTGTTGCTTCGCCTGCTTTACCGTATGGGCGATGCCACCAGCCGCTGCGGGACATGTGCATGAAGCTTTCGCAAGCTAATCAAGTTTTTTGGGGTATTTTTCTCTAGTGGAAGCAAACTTATCTCTCCGGAAACCGTGCGCAGCCTCATTCTGCACGAGCACATCAGCGAGAACTCAATGAGACAGTCTCACTTCTGCTGCATCAGATACAGCGCTCATCAGCGCGCAGTGGCACCCGCACTAGCAAATAATGCAATTCCGGACACTGTACAGCCCTTAGAGGCATTGGCTATATAGGCAGCCGGCGATGAGCCTTGCCTCACTTCACGTTCTCTGCCTGGTGCTAGACACTAGAGCTCCTTTTGTGACTTTTCTCAGAGCCACTCTCACTTGCCACCCGTTCTTCTCCCTACACCGCCTGCTAGTCAGTATGGGGGCGGATATAAGCATTTGCTCCAGCGGCCAGATGGGTAAGTTTCGCGTCCATGCTCCGATAATCTCTTGCTGAATGTTCGCTATAGGTGTTGCCACAACCATCGCATCGACAGGCGTGAGTAGCAAATTGACAGTTTGTGGATATCAGAACTGACTATCAGGTTTGCCTATCGGTTCGAAATAGATTCCTATTGTAAGACCTCTTTGGATGGCTTGAAAGTCTCGTTTGCTAATGAGATGATTTAGACCTACTATGGGGTTTTGCTCACCAATGGCGGCAAGGAAATTTCCGCCTCGAACGCCATTGCCCAGAGCTCCAGCGCAGCAACGTCGGCACCGTGCGTCGGCACCTGGGACAACGGCGCATCCGTAACTTGTAACTCCAACGGAGTGTACGTCTCTACAGAATAAGCTGTTTTTTGTTTTTGTTTGATGCTGACTGTCGGCTCGTTGTAGGCCTACTTCTGCGATAGACACGGAGGGAAACCCATGGACTTGCGTGGGCAACACAAGCCCTGTCCCGGGGGCTGAAGAGGAGTTCTCCATGTACGCTTGCTGTAGTCGCGGCTGATGAGTGGGATATGTTCGCTCGTGTGCTCTTTGTCTCCATTGGAGGATAATTTATATAATACTCGGGTTGAACGAGTTTGACCTTGTCGCAAAGTACTGTCTATGTGCTTGCCAAAGGCGTATCTAGCGGCACTTGCCTTGCTAGGTAGCTCGCGCGTTGTCTGCTGTGTGCAGCTGCCTGCATAAAATCGTAGATTGTTTGTTCCGAGCCTGTGGGCATGAGGTCATGGAATCATAGAGTAGTAGGCCTCTGCACTTTGCAGAGAGGTGTGCATTACGATTATTTGGCTGTTATCACCCAACGGTCGTCACAGGTGGGGCCTCTCGGATGGCTGCTTACTCGACCTCAGACATGCCAGACGGAGTCGGTCCTTATCTTGCCCAGCAACAGCACCACTCTCCACTGCAATGCTTCCATTCATGCGGCTTCCGGGTGTTTTGAGGGTCCAGTCGATCCTGTCGGCATTGGTTGTCACAATTTCAAGGCACCAGCGGGACCCGGGTCGTTCTTCTTGAAGTGCCATCAGGCACTGGTGCTAGTACCAAATCATGCGAGTAAGCATTAACCTAGCTTGTCCGTCTCAAGAAAGCTCTCGAGAATATACTACTGCTCTAAAGGCATTACAGGAGTTGTAATGAGGTGGTGTGTGCACGGTGTTATGATTCAACTGTTGACTTTGGGTCCGGGATGATACTCGACATCGTGTGCTATCTTGATGTCCTTACACCGCAATCTGTACGAATTCAGAGCAGTGGCGCAACGGAGACTCCACACGTGGAAACAATCACATCTACATTGTCTGCTACAACCACGCCGTGCGGCCCGAACAGGTAGAGTAACTTCTTGCCCTCCGCCGCACCCGCAGCTGGACATGTACTGCTATCCGGTGTACTACCTTCAGCCTAGCCTGTTTTGGGCTATCCTGTGTCGAACTGAGAGCGAAACAATCTCCTAGAACCAATACTTCGTAATTGCACCGCGTGCCTTCTTCCAAGTGTCCTCACAGGCTTCGACGACAGCGTCAGGCAGCGGGCCCTTCACACTACAGGGTATTCGTGTTAGCCTGCGTGCAGATACCGGTGAGACGACGTTCTCGCACCTGTCTTCCAAAATGGTCTGCAGCTGCTCTTTCGCGCTCGCTGCCACAATGACGCCGTAGTCGTCAGGCTGCAATTTGCTGTGCCACTGCAACCAGCGTAGTGCAACCTCGGTGAGCGTCAGGCCGTGCGCGTGCGCGATGTCCTTCAGCTCAGCGACCGCAGACGCCGAGGGGTAGTACCGCCCGGTGTGAAACCATGAGAAACTGGAGCGGGCCGGGTCAAATTTCGACAGCGGGACGTCCTTGCTCGCGTCGGGGACGAAGAAGCGCTCCGTGAGGTAGCCGCCTGCGAGAGGCGTGTACCCCGCGAACTTGATGTTGAACTTGCGAAGGCAGGGAAAGAGTTCGTTCTCTGTGAGCCGGTCAATGAGGTTGTAGACCCCCTGGTATACGGTGGGCATGACGAAGCCGCGGCGCTTGCAGATGCTCACAACCTCCGCCACCTCAAAGGCCATGTAGTTGGCTAGGCCAAACACCTCGCTGTTTTCGGCGTAGCGACGTGGAAACTTAGAAGTGGGCGTGCAAGACAATATTGTTAGACTCACAATCCACCGGCGTTGTAGATGTCATTGATCGCTTCGAGCGTGTCCTCAAAGGGGAAGCTGCGATCAGGGACATTCAGGTAATACACACGGATTTTCTTGCCATTCAAGGCTTTGACGGACGCCTCGAAGCTCTTCTTAACCTTCTCAGGAGAGTGGTCGCCAGGCTTTAACGGGGTAAAGCTTTGTGTCGGCACACGCCGTTCCTCTAAGGTCCAGACCACCCAGAAACTGTAGGACGGTATTGATCAAACTACTCATGAACAAAGGAGCGCACCGCTTACCTTCTCAGAAGTGCCATTGCAATAGAAAGGTGATGTTTCGATGCTGGTGCAGCCATGACTGACCATAAGATCAACCAACTCTTGCGCAACGGCGGGGTCGGAAACTCGTTCGTCAGTGTTGGCGGCGCCGAACTGACCAGCTCCCTAGAGAATAAGGCTATCAGCTGTGGCCTTCAAAGGTTATGCGCATAGCCTACTCACAAGAATCAGGGGAATGCGAGTGGACATTTTGGCAGCGTGCCGTACGACAGCCATGAGGCGGCAGAAAACGAGACGGAAGTGCTGTTGGCCGTTCTGCTACAGCGAAAAAGAGTCGTTTATATCCTTTCTGGGGACGAAGGCGTCAGTTCTCGAGTGCTGTATGCCCCTCGGTGCTGGGCTGTGTACGAGCTTGTTGAGTTAGGGCCAATTGCATGCGGAGGGAGCCTGCCCCACCTTCCATGCCACATCACAGGGCCATCGTCAGACAACCGACAAAGACAGACGGGATTCATAAAATGCCAATAGGAGGAGGCAAATGGCCGCGGAGACACTCACGACGAGTCAGCGTAGCCTGATGCGTCCAGGTTGTCGGCAGGATTACGGCTTCTAATCTCGCTTCGAATTGCCGGTACCATCGGGATTCGGGAGTGCAGGCGTGCGCGATCAACGCGACGAGCCAGCTTGGACTCGTTCTGAACGGATAGTGCCAAGCTCCTGGGTGCAAACATCGTGGACAGCTCACCCAGCCAAGACTTACGATTTACGACGTAGTACTAGTACAGTACATAAGTACTTGCCCTGAAGGCGAGCATCAGCCGTCCGCGGCCGTAAGCGTTCGCGAGTTCCCGTTTCCCAAAACGGACATAGCATCATATTTCCTGCTATCTCCTAGCTCGTGGATGTATTCATCTGACTCGCAGCTCACTCTTTGTGGTGAACTAGTGCTCAGGGTAAGGTGCTTTAGGTGACGAGTGCATGCCATACTAATTTTTTAGCTGGTTGGGTGAGGCGTACTTTCTCTCTCCAGTTTCTGCGGGCTGACACTTCAGTTACCTTGATAGTCATGCTCAGAATTGGAGTCGAAGTCTCTGCGCAGATCATGAGGCAAACGTCAGGACACCAGCGGAGATGCAGAAGTATCCATCACATGGACTACTCCCCGGGCCGCCAGACATATACTACTGTCCGCCCATCACCTCGCTGGGCTGCCAGTGAGCCCGTGGGGTATATACCAGCTGGCTTCATCCAAGCGCAGCGAAAACCTTCGAGCACTGGAAGGCTCTCGCTTTGGCGATGTTTCCAAGGCTAGCTGCGGTGTTTTCGATACTCCTGCCTTTCGTGCTTGGCGCATCGCCCATCGACCGCCGTGCCATCGTCTCGCGATACAACCCGACGCGCAATGCTTCAAGCCCAATCACACCCATGCAGATTGGCAACGGTCACTTTGCCTTCGGCGCGGATGTGACCGGCCTCCAGACCTTCCTTCCCTTTGCCATCATGTCGGACTGGGGCTGGAAGAACGACAGTCTTCCGCCCGGCAAGACGTGGGCTGACATCTACAATTACCGCGGAGTGGAATGGGACTTCCACGGTCGGCTCGTGCAATACGAGTTTGGCGGCGACCCCTCGGTCGAGGAGTGGCTCGAATCGAACCCAAACCGAGTGAACCTCGGTCGTGTCGGTCTGCTCTTCCTCGATGGCAATGGGGAAGCCCTGAACGTGACAGAAAGCGACCTCGAGAGCATCGAGCAAGAGCTCAATCTTTGGACGGGTACCATGACAAGCCGCTTCTTCTTCGATGATCAACATGTGACCGTGACTACCGTCTCCGCACAAACTAGCAGCACCGTCGGGATCGATATCGACTCTTCGTTGTTGCAAGCCAGAAAGCTCGGCGTGTACCTAGACTTCCCCTGGAACGATGGCTCATCCGATTTTTCGGCCCCATTCGTCGGCGTCTTCAACATGACTAGTAACCATACAACTACGCTTCAGGTGGGTGGCAAGCTCCCTGGTGGTGCCCAGGCGCAAGTTAGCCACACACTCGTAAACTCGACTTTCATCACCTCTGTTGGCGGCGATCAATTCACTATCTCTCGCGATACTCCTGCCGCGCATCGATACTCCATCTATCCTGCCAATGCTTCGAACTCCTTTTCCCTATCTGTATCCTATTCGTTGCCTAACGACACGCCGGAGACCGTCGCCCCGTACCAGTCTGTGGCCGAAGAGTCAGTCCAAACTTGGGAACAATTCTGGTCGGACAGTGGATTCGTCGACGTCTACACGGGCTCTTCCGACTCAAGGGCAGACGAGTTGCAAAGACGTATCATTTTGTCTCGTTACCTCATGCGAGTCAACGAAGCTGGTGACACTTCTCCGCAAGAAGTGAGTGTCCTATTGTCGATCTCGGGCCATGTCGCTCACGCCCTTTCCCCAGTCAGGTCTAGTCAACGACGGATGGGTACGCTGTCCTCCGCCCGCGCGATACCCCCAAAACGTGCTCATGACCGCTGTTTTAGTTTGGGAAATTCCACATGGAGATGGTTTTCTGGCACCTCGGGCATTGGGCGCTGTGGAACAACTGGGATCTCCTCAACCGGACCATGGGGATGTACCATCGATTCCTGGAGACGTCCATTCAACGGGCGCAGGTGCAGCAGGGCTTCAGCATGGGTGCGCGATGGTCGAAGATGACCGACCCCTCCGGCCGATCTGCACCCGGCGACATCAACGAGCTGCTTATCTGGCAACAGCCTCACCCGCTCGTGTTCGCCGAATACCAGTACCGGGCGACCAAGTCCCAGGCGACGCTCGAGAACTGGCAGAACGTCATCAGAGAGACTGCGAACTGGATGACTGCGTTCGCATGGTTGAACGAGAGCACGGGTCGGTATGATCTTGGTCCGCCGATGTGTAGGCATTCGTGTATTCGCATCTTGCGGTTGGCTGATGTTGAATGTAGACGTCGTTGCAGAAGATACCAGTCCCAACGTGACCCGCAACCCAGCGTTCGAACTTGCATACTGGAAGTATGGTCTGGGTCTCGCGGAGACGTGGATGCAACGACTAGGACTTGTGGCACCCAGTGCCTGGAATGATGTCAAGGAGAACCTTGCTCCTCTTCCGATTGAAGATGGCTTATATGCCGTATACGAAGGAATCGAATCCAACTTCTGGACAGATCCGACGTACATCAACGATCACCCCGCCCTCGTCGGTCTGCACGGCTGGCTACCGCCCATCGATGGCGTCAACCTCACGATTGCGAAGTTGACCGCAGACAAGGTGTACACTACCTGGAACGTCAGCAACTGTTGGGGGTGCGTCCGCAACCTTTTTTTAATGCACGACCTCTGCTGATAGATGGTCTCGGCTAGGTGGGACTTCCCTATGCTCGCCATGTCGGCTGCGCGCAACGGAGAGACGGAACAGGCAATAGAGTGGCTGCTCAACCCGCTGTATCAATTCGACGACGTCGGCATGCCTGTCGGAGGCGTGCGAGTGCCCACGCCGTATTTCCCTGGCTCTGGCAGCCTGCTGTACGCCATAGCAATGATGGCCGAAGGGTGGGATGGCAGCACGACACAGGCACCTGGGTTCCCTGGAACGGGGTGGAATGTAAGGACGGAGGCGATGAGCAAAGCGTTGTGATCCCCGCGGGTCTGAAGAAACGATTCTCGGTTGAGCTTGTTTCAAACCTTCCATTCGATGATAATAATCTGCCAAGATATCGAGATTTTCGGAAGCAAATAATTCACTCATTCTTTACGAGATTAACACGAGCCTCGAAGCCAGAAATGAGATATCTTTTTTAAAAGGAAAATTAAAAGTTAAAATTATTATAGAAAGGAGATAAAAACTGAGTCGACCCAGGCTCGAACTGAGGACCTTCTGTGTGTTAGACAGATGCGATAACCAACTACGCCATCGACCCTTCTCAGTTCACAAAAATTTATATTGATCTACCAACGGACGCCTGTTTCGTCACGTCGCCAACGTTGCGCCCGTGGACTTCGTTCGCGATGAAGCTGGTGCTGTACCAGCCTTCACCTCCGTGAGTATCGACTCGCAACAAAGTCGACATCTCGCAGGTGAGGGATGCTGACGCTAAGGAGACCAAGGCCGGTGCCTTTCTGAGCTATCACCTTCACATTATCTCCGAGTCCTCAAAGCAGAGGCGTGCCCCTTGAGGCTCGAACTTCGACCATGTCCTTGGGCACCTCCGCAGCCCCAATCAAGGGCTCATGTTTCTGTGGGGCCGTCTCTTACAGCCTGGCTGGAAGACCAATTATGAGTGTCTACTGTCATTGCACCATTTGCCAGAAGTTGAACGGTAGACGTCCTCGATGAGTTATCGCAACGTTCTGCTGATTTCTCATCCAGGCTGTCCTTTTGTTCATACTATGCATTTTAAGGGCTCAGACTTTACTTGGAGTCATGCTCAGCCCCACGAAGCCCAGCTCGACTTCTACATCATTCCGAGCAAGCCGCACAAGACTCGCTGTCGATGCAAGACGTGCGGAGCGACCGTTGCTTCGTACAATTCTGACACTAGATGCTGGAGTGTCTGGGGCCCTCAACTGAAGCGTGACGCTGCGGGTAAGATTGAGGCCTGGGAACTAGTGAAACCGAGCGCGCACATGTTTTATGGAACGCGTATACTCGACGTCGGGGATGAGTTGGGAAAATGGGAAGGGTATGAGAACAGATCGACCAGACTTGGTTGAGGTCAGGCTTAATGATGCCATTTTGCCTGCGGTAATGAGCTGACGCGTTGGCGTAGGTCACTCGACGTATACCGTCCAACCCCTTCTGACTTCCCTGCATCGTGACTGCAGCATAATTGTGAGTTGCTCTCCCTACTACCTCGCCTCGAAATGCGTCCTAATGCGATTCCAGTGATCATTTCGGGCCCTTTGCGCCATGTCTTACATGTACAAGTAGCAATAATATCCTTATGGTCTGACTTACTGCGCGTATATTTTTCGCATAATAACTTACTCTTGACAGCACACACAGCACAGCACGAAAATTCATGATTCCCTCCTTCAAGTTAACCTCGACCCGTCCTTCAAAGAATAATCGGGATGCAACCGATGGAGATATGACCGCCCTAGACGTCCTCAATGAAGCAGCTCGTGTGGATGTGTACCACGTTGATATTCTCGCAACATACGACATTAGCGGAGCAGGCTGGCCCGGAGCCAGCGCTGACTACGGTGTGCGACCGTTCTCCGATGTCTGACGGTGGCATCCAGAGCACAGCACCCGTCTGCGAGGCAAATTCTCTCTGCTGCGAGAACTCTGTCTTGGTGTGCTCTCCCTCTTGGTACAAGACAGTGTAACTAATGCAACAACACAGGGAGGTCTCGTTAGCGCGCTGGCTGCGTCTTTCTTTAAGCATCTAGCTCCATTTGCTCTAGGCGTAATTTTCCCCTGCCAAGCTTCGCTCCTCGCCCGTATTGTACACTATCGGATAAACTTTAAGCCTGAGTATGCATGGACGCTTGGACATGTTTATCGTTAGTAACTTCATCTCCATAAGAGCGTTCTGTCATTTCGATGGTCTCCTTGCAATCTACTGCTCCACATTTGAGCTTTCTTATATACCTTCTCCGGTGGACATCGCTTTGCTACCAAACAGCTCGGACTTCGCCTTCTAAATAATGTACGACTTTTTGAGCTACAAAATCTATCCGTGTCGTAGGAAGGCGAAACGACTTTGCTGTTGTTTTCTGGCCCTCGGCCCCTCGGGTCGTATGTCAGAATGGATGACTGGCAGACACTGGCGCTTATACCAAGCTTGTCCTGTAGTTCCCTAGTCTCAGGCCCCAACTCCCTTTTCTTCCAGATCCGCGACCTTCCGAGCCTAGAGTTTCACCATACGGCGTAGACACAGGGTGGTAAGCGCAGTTTTTTTCTTGAGAAAACTCAGGCAAAAGCGGCTAAACAAGGCCCAGTTATTCCTCGATTCTACGCTGATGCAAACTGAGGAGAAACTGGTGCAAAACCAGCCAAAATGGTCTAAAACACAGTAAAACTGGCGGAAAACTGAGTTTTGCCTTCGGTTTTTTCAGGTGAAAACCGGAGAAAGTTGGAGCCTTGTTCAATCAGTTTTTGGCCAATTTTACGCCGGAAAAAAGCGCGCTTACCACCCAGTGAGAGTGGACGACAGATATTGCGCCGTGCTCAAAGTTTGTGCGCTGAGTTTATTTGACGCCTGCGGAAGTCTACATAACTGGTCTAGGTAACCGTGCGCGCTCGCTCGGTTGCTTGGTTGCTCTCCAGTTATGTAGTCTTCCGCTTCGTGGAGCCGGTTGCTGTGATTTAATACAAAGACATGTCGATCCACCGTGCCTGAGGCTCAACGGATCGTCTCGCTTGCGGACGACGTTAATAATCGCACTTCTGCTTCCGTCTCCCATCTAACTCAGGCTCGACCACACAACATTTACAGGACAGTCGCGGAGCTTTAGCAGTCCGCCCTGTTCGCGAGCTAGGTCAGCATACCTCAGCGGTCCGGTTAGTACGGGCCAGTACTGGTCAGTCTATCCTAATGACCTTTAGCTGTGGAACAGCCTGGAAGACGGCACGTAAGATGGTCGAATGGCGGAGTCCAGAAGTGCTTGCTCTGATCAAGTACCTATTTTCACTGAATACTTTGTTCTCCCTTGGCTTCTATGCGTAAGCTGCCACTTCACGCTGACCTCTTCATGAGAGATACCAGTCCTGACCCGTTTCGGTAGCTGGTATTTCATCCTGTCGCTGCCTAAGGTCGAGTTCCGCCTCATGACGCGCACGACTAGGTTTCAACTGGTTCATGTAAGTTATTCAGGTGCTCAACCCTGAACGTATGCTCATCAATCAGCTGTGCTAAGGTTTGTTACCTAGTCGCACGCTACGCGCATCTTTTCTCGTGTGTTTCGTTGCAAGTCTCGAGTTAGTGTTCCTCGGATATTCAAGTAACTCACAACCTTCGCATTTCGCAGGGCTGTGGCTGCAAACATGAAGAATCCTCCGACCAAAGGCCGTTCCGGTTTGGGTAGTACCGTTGCACAGCATTCTATCATGCATCTTGCTAACATTCCGAGGGTTTCATACAGCTCTGATGAAGCTCAATGCGGTACGAACCTCTGCTTTGTGGATGATTGCCTGTGTCTAATTCAGGCGCAGATCATGGATGACCTTGCGCTGGCTGCGTCCAGCGGAAATCTTGCTTTACGCGCGTCAGTCTTGTATGCCATTGGTCTTGCGAATGTCTTAACCCCTATCGCACGCACAGAATGGCACTTTGGAGCGACAAGCGAGCTGTGTCTTGTGGTATCATCAGCTTGTGCATGGGTCACTTGACTTACGCCGTAATTCGTGAGTGAACAACCTGTCGACAAAAATTATGTGTGAAGCTGACAAAGATGCTAGTGGGCGGTGTAATAGTTCGCCAGAAATGGGACTCTGTTCATCATATATATGCTGTTGACTCCAACGTAGTGCGCAAACCGTTCGCTGCCTTTTTGATATTCAGTCAGTCCATTTACCCGGAAAGTGCGTTCCTTCTACTGATGGCTCATGGTTCGACAGCAATAATTTGGGACATTTCAATCCTGATTCTGACTGTCTCGGGTATGCACAGGCCGAAGAACCGCGCTCCAGAATCGCCGCTTTGGTCAACGTTGCTGTACCAAGGGGCAAGATATGTTATGATCACGCTTCTGATCTATATATCCATCGCTGTATGTATGTCTTTTGCGCTGGCTTTTCTCGTCGTAACAAATTTGCCTTGACAGGTTTTGTATATTCTGAATTTGAATGGTGTGTACATACCCGTGGTCGCATAATCTTGCCATGCTAACGCGCAAAATATACTGTAGAGACCATGAACATCTTCTTGATGCCGCCTGGTAAGGCCATTGAATCTATCTTGTCGAGGACTGATGACATCCTCGTGGGGGCTGCCAGGGTGCTCGATTAGGTATAACGCCGCCTGATGTGCCATGTAAACGCAGACTGATAGCATGAGCTCTTTGCAGTGTTATCGTATCCTCGTCGGCCGTATCTTCCTTGCTGAAAATGTGCGAGGAAAGCCAGAAGGGGTACGTCGGGGATATACGTAGTTGTACTAACGCTCATCATATTTCCCCATAGCACGGGCCCCACTTCTCAAAATGCTCGGCGCCCGGAAAGAACGCCGAACGGCAAAAGTAGCCACATCTTTTCGTCTGTCGTGGACCCGTACGTTTGTTCTGTCTTAGTTCATTATCTTTTGCTTATGCTTGTTGCTCTGCAGGGAAGGATCGCGCACATCTAGTCAGATAGACGACTCGCTGGCGCCGATTAGCTATATAGAACCGGGTGTCACGTCAGTCTGGGGGGCCGAGCGGGGGTTGGGGCCATCGAGGAGATGTCTGTGTGACTCCGCAATGCAGACATGTATCTGATAGCTAGTCTAATTGTTTGATAGCCTCTTGGCCCGTTGACATCGCAGGAAGCGGACTATTTTGCCCCTTGTGTCCAATTAGTCAGAGCTGCGGATGTGCTCAATCGCGAACGGCCATAAGGGCTCGTTCATGAGCCATATCTTGTCGCACACTAGGCACTGTGAGTCCGCGACCTCCGCTTTGCTCGCCCTAGCAGACTGGACTCACCGGGCGGCATCATGGGTGGCTGCGAAAGCGCTCCGAGTCTCTCTCACACTCTCGCTTGCCTTCCTGCTTGAACACGCAGCGAGTAGCCGTCGATGGAGCTGCGTACCACGTGAGTCCCAGACGGGGCGGACTCTAGCAGAGTGCGGGGTCGGTTCGCACGTATGGAGTGCAGCCCGACTCGGAGACGCCGCTGTTCGGCCGCAGACTTATCTCATGACATGACAGAGGGCCTAGAATTGCTGGGTTCAGCGGCTAGTAATAGCACGGCGGAGTACTGCTCGTTGTCCGCGCATAATGGAGAGTGGCTGAATTCCTTGAGGGACATGCCTAAATTCAATACAACATATTGAAGTGCAAACATTCCAACTGACATCTAATGAGCCCTGGGCTGTCCCGGACAAATATCAAGAGCTCTGGAATGATACACTCCTATACTCATACAACAAGGTACATAGAAATATACATTCCACAGATACCGGAAGGCGCATTTACCAATGAATCCCCAACTATGGAGTGATATCAGCTTGATACAAATCTCTGAGGCATCATGCACGCCGTATCTTCAATTCAGATTTACTCAGAGAAGCAGACGAAAGAGTTCAGGCGGTCATTGTAGTTCGTGTTGCCGTCACCGAGGTCAGCAATATCAGGGTTCGTGATGTCACCAAGACCATCGCCGGTGCACGAGAAGTTGCTGCCGTTCTCTACATAACTGGAGAGCAGCCGCTCGGTAACTCTCCGATTATGTAGGCTTCCGTTCCCCAGAGCTAGTTACCCTGGCTCCCCATCACAACTTGTCAGTTGGTCATGTTTCAAGCCGAACGGCCCATCTCGCTTGCGGACGACATTGAAAATTGTAGTTTTGCCTCCACCTTCCATTTAATACGACCGTACGACAGTTGTAGGACACCCGCGGAGCTGTAGCAGTCCCCCTTCCTCGCCGGCCGGATCGCAATACCTGATCACACAGAATAGTACAGGCCAGTGCTGGCCCTACTCATCCCTCTGACCTCCAGCCTTCGAATAGGAAGACGGCGCGCAAGATGGTGGAATGGCAAAGCCCCAGAGTGCTCGCTCTAACCTCGTACCTGTTCTCATCAAACATCATATTCTCACTCGGGCTCTATTCGTAAGTTGCCGCTTCACACTGATTCTCTTCGTAGGACATGCCAGTCCTGACGCTCTTTGGAAGCTGGTACTTCATCTTGTCGCTGCACAAGGTCGAGTTCCACCTCGTAACGTGTAGGAGAAATTTTCAACTGGTCCACGTAAGTTATTCAGGCGTTCAACCTCTTCCTGCTGTACGCTTACCGGTCAGCTCTGCTCAGGTCTGTTACCTAATTGCACGCTATGCGCATCTCTTCTCTCTTGTTTCATTGCAAGTTTCGCGTTGGTGTTCCTCTGATTCGAGTAGCTCACAAGCTTCGCGTTTCATAGAACTGTGATCACAAACACAAAGTTGTCTCCCGTTAGCCACTGCGCTGGTTTAGGTAATGCCCTGCGCTGTGTAATATCTCATCTTGCTAGCATTCTGAGGACCTCTTGTAGTTCTGATAAAGCTCACTTCGGTGTGGCTCTCTACTATATGGACGATCATCTGAATCTAATTCAGGTATAGCTCATGGACGATCTTGCGCTGGCCGCGTCCAGTGGAAATCTTGCTTTACGCGCGTGAGTCTCTTGTCTCATTGGTCTTGATACAGCTCCTGCAAAAACATCTTATTCCTTTCCCACATGCACAGAATGGTACTCTGGAAGGATAAACGAGTCGTGTACTGGGGTATCTTCAGCATATGCGTAGGCCATTTAGCTTACGCCATATTAAGTGAGAGAATGCTCCGGCGATGCACTATGTGAGGCTGACAGACATGCCAGTCGGCAGCGTGTTAGTCACCCACAGAACATGGAACTCCGTTCGCCATACATGCATCTCTGACCCCCACATCGTGCGCAAACCGTTTGTTGCATTTCTGCTGCTCAGTTAGTCCATTCAATTGGAACTTGTACTTTCCTTGCTGATGTCTCATGGTACGACAGCAATAGTTTGGGATGTTTCGATCCTAATTCTGACGGTCTTAGGCATGCGCAGGAAGCAGCTCGCAAGAGGATCGCCATTTTGGTCACCATTGCTGATACAGGGGGCAAGTTATGTCATAGTCACGCTTCTAGTCTATATATCTATTACTGTACGTATGCCATTTGTATGCTCTGCCCCCGTCTAACGACAAACGAATTCTTTTGATAGGTTCTGTACATCCTTAACTTAAATGGTGAGTGCATATCTGGTGACTTATCGCTTGAGTTTGCTATGCTTACGCGCAAGATGTACTACAGTGATCATGAATACTATCTTGATGCCGCCAGGTGAGACAGTTTTACGAATTTGTTTAGTCAGAACTAGGCTGACAATGTCCTCGCTGGGGACTGTCAGGGTGCACGATCAGGTATGACGCTGCTTCATTTACCATATAAACTCGGGCTGGTCTTAGCTCTTCAGTGTTATCGTGTCCTCGTCCGCTGTGTCTTCCCTACTGAACATACCCGAGGATGGGAACATACTCTCGAGTGTCGTGGATCTGTATGTTTAATTTGTCAATACTTCACCGTCCTTTTGTTTACCTTTGTTTCACTACAGAGAGGAATCGCTCACGTCGAGCCAGATGGACGAGTCGGTGTCAACCGGCCACACGAGGCTGGGCTTACCAGTTGAAAGGGTCGTCGCGTTGGAACAAGGACCATCGGAGGGATATTGATATGAATTCGTGACATAGATGTACACCTAGTGATCAGTCTAAGTGTCGTTGGCCTCTCAGTTCGCTGAACTTGCGTATAAAAGGCCACCTTGTCACCCCCGTTCGAGGTCCTTCCTTCCCTCCTTGTGCGTCTGTAAGTACGTGTGTATCGCAGTTGTTACGCCTCAAACACCGCTACGTGCGACCGTGCGCAGTGCCCGTGTACGGCGGGTGGACCTACCAGGCATCACGATGGCCGCAGAAGTGCGTGCTCATGCACCCTTGTCTCATCGCCCTCTTGCAACATGCAGCGGCGGCCGTCGGCAGAGCAGCGCACTATACGGACCCCGGATGAGGCGGGTCCAGCGGAGGCACAGGATCCACAGACTCGTACGCGCGCCGCTCAGGCTGGCACAACATATGGCGTCCAAATAATGGCTGCGAACGGTCGAGATGGCCTCAAACTTCTGGGCTCATCAAAAACACGGCAGAGATCATCTATTCAGAGGTAATTGTGCGGGACGCTGTCGCCCACGCTCGGTCAGTTTTATGAGCTTACTGCGAAGGTATAAGTGTAGTCTGTGGATGTACTAGTACTAGTAGCCGTCTTCAGGGACGCAGCAGATGAGAAGTATTAGAAGGCCGTGATCGAGTGCTGCCTGTTGTTTCCGAATGACAAGCGACTGGATTGAATATCATAGATTCAATGCAAATATTCCGACTGGTATCAAGTGAGCCCGAAGCTGCTCTGTCTAGAAAAAAATGCAGAACTCTAGATTGATACCTATACAACAACGTACATAGAGATACACATTCGGCAGGTACCGGAGAGCGCATTTACTAATGAATAACCAACTGTGGTTCAATGTCAGCTCGATGTGAATATCCGCGAGATTATCCAGATCACCAGGCTGTACCTTTAGACTAGGCTTACTCAGAGGAGCAGCGGAAAGAGTTCAGGCGGTCATTGTAGTTCGTGTGGCCGCTACCGAGGTCCGCGTAACCAGGGAACGTGATGTCACCAAGACCATCGCCAACGCACAAGGAGTTCGAGTTGCTGTCATTGTCAGCGAAGGTCAGAAATGCATCAAATCGACAGGGATAGCAGCCAGAAGACATACACGAAGGCAGTGCAGACCCATCCTGACGGCGGCCCGATGGCAGAGACGTCGTTCTGGAAACCACTGGGGAAGACGACGCACTGGCCGTCGCTGAATCCAATGTTAGTGCAGTCCGATCCCCAGTTGGCGTTGGTGCAGACGAATAGGTTGCCACCGGCATCGCGGACCTGGACAATCGGCGTCAGGTAGGTCTGGAAGGAACGGCGGGACAGGGAGGAAGAAGGAGCATACTTCGATGGGGGAGGCGGCGGCGTAGCCTACGAAGGCGACGACGGTGGCGAGGAGAACGGAGCCGAGCTTGAACTGCATGATGATAAAGGTGATGCGAAGAAGCTAAGGCTGGTTGCGCTGAACTGTGAAGGAACAAAAGACTGTGCCCGCTGTCCCAATCCTCGAGAGCTTTTATACTTTCTGGGGGCTGCGTCCCCAGTTAATAAGCGCATGAGATCCATATGTGCGCTGCGCTCTGCAGCTGTATCAGCTCGGGAAACCATGTGCGGAGGCTACGCTGGTGTCTTAGGCTCAGCCACACTGGTGTCACGTCAGCAAAACCGCCCGTGCCCTGAGACACCCTGACGAACCTTCGTCAGGTCGTGTCAGATCTAGTGTTGTGGAAGAAACTACCCGCCGATGTAACTTACCGGTGTCAGAAAGTAGCGGTCATGGGGCTGTAAGTAAGGGGTGTAAGTTCCCGTTTCTTACATAGGCGTCTAATATGTAAGTTACGGTAAGTAAATGTAAGAAAAGCGTGTAAGTTACAATGTCAGTTGCAAGTCAGCTCTACACCCACAACGTCAGGACACCAAAGGAGTCCAATGACTCCGAGACCACCCTCGACAATGCCGCCACGTCTTTTCTCACTTCAGATGACTTCGGTACCTCCTCTGCTAGCAGCGCACCTAAGACTGAAGAGCTGAGGTTAAGCTCGGGCTCAGCTGCAAGGCTGCTTCCTCTGTGGCCAGTGCAGTCAAGGCAAGATATGACTCAGTCACAAACCACATGATAGTAGTCATTTGTGCTTAAGCCGTATCTTATACCCCTTCCTCCTTGCAGTTACAGTTGGGAGCTGACAGCGAATGTGAAGGCTTGTGAGATGGACGCTGGCGCTACTATCTATTTGTACGCTAGCAGTAACAGGGAAGCCGCACGAGCATCGGATCCGACATCTGCCAGTGTGTCGTCTCTTTGGAATGTGGAATTTAGAGAGTTGTAACAGCATGGCAATGTGTCGAGTTTATTCGAGCGAAAAGTACTGCCTTACTCTTGGTGAAGCATTTGGAGACGCCCACGATAAACAGCACCAAATACAGTACGAGTCCGCTAAGCGCTTTATACTGAATGTTACGCTAAACGTCGAACATCGGCTGGTGGTTGTGGTACGAGGCCTTACAAGCTTCGACATGTTCTTAAAATGTAAGGGTCATTATTTCAGTGCAGACACAGTTGATCTGCATGATACTGATACGCTCGAGTATCACAGAGGTTCTATACGGGCCTGATGCTTGTGTTAGCACCGACGCACAGGATCACTCGCTTGCTGCTTAACTTGCGCGTCGAAGTTCGGCGGATATTAAGTACCGCTCTCAA